GAAAAATGATGTTCACTATTTTCCTTTAGGTAAAAACCGCCAATTTTGATTATTAACAATATTTGAATTTTAGTCCATCAGCTATTCAAAAGCCTTTAAATTATGTATCTCTGAATTGTAGAAATGAAGCTATGGCTGTTTTTTTTTTGTATGTTGACCGAGGAAAAACCGAATCCGAAAGTAAACTCCCGAAACAAAATTTAAATATTTTTCTTTATGTTATGAGTATTTTAATCTCCTTTCATTTGCATAAATTATGTCAAGACAAAGAAAATTCATTGTCAGAAATAAAATTTTTTTCGCTAAAGTTTTTTTACATTTCAGAATTTTCTTGCACCTCTGAAAAATTTTGATTTTGAGAAAATTTCGCAAGACACATTACAAAAAAAAGTTTATTATAAAATTCTTTGAAGTTTTGTACAAGGATTTTGTACAATATTAGCAATAGTTTGAACTAAATAAGGATTGCTTATAAAAGTTATGCAACTAAAGTTTTGTATGTGGATTTTGTATAATATTAGCTATGTCTTGAACTAAATAACGAATGTTTATGACAGCTATACAAGTAAAGTTTTATATGTGGATTTTGTATAATATTAGCTATGTTTTGAAATAAATAACGAATGTTTATTGAAGTTATACAACTAAAGTTTTGTATGTGGATTTTATATAATATTAGCGATGTTTCGAACTGAAAACTGAGGTCTAAACAAGAATTCGTGATTTTTATCATGCTTTAAGTAAGAATATTTAGAATCAACTGTTGTAAAGTTGCTAACTCGAAATTTGTTGTTTTTGAGCTCAAATTTAGTTCAAGACATAGCTATTATTATACAAAATCCACATATAAAAATTTAGTTGTATAACTTTCATAAGCAATCCTTATTTTGAACTTATATAGCTGTCATAAACATTCATTATTTAGTTCAAGACATAGCTAATATTATACAAAATCCGAATACAAAACTTTAGTTGTTTAACTTTCATAAGCAATCCTTATTTTGAAAAATAGTTTATAAATTCTTAAACTTTTCTTTAAATTTATAATGCAATGCAATGTAATGATTAAGTTTATAATGCGCTGAACGCAATCAGATACCTTATTTACAAAGTTAATCATTTCGTGACGTAACAGTTCAAGTTCACAATATTACATCACCGGGTTAGAAAACTTTAACACTATTTTTTCTGTTAATCTTATCAACTTTTTCTTTCATTATCTCTCTAATATATACACAGTTCGTTCGTATATACACACAGATTCGTTATTCTAAAGTAATCTGCAATTAATTTTTCCCTCGAATTCCCAAGTGATAAAATTGATATTAAGCTTTCTATATTGGCTCCGTGTTGAACGAACGATTCTACAAATGTTCATTTTCAATGCAACGTCCTTCTGTAGTTAGAAGAAAGAAATTACTTGAAATGATGCTAATGTTACGATGAACAATATGACATAATAATACCAATCGTGACAGATGTTTCCTCATCTTTTCAGTAGACTTCTATTTTCAAACGACATTGAAAACCAAAACGAACTCTAATATATTTGCATTTTTCTAGCAGACGATAATTTTTAAAGTTGGAAACTATGTTTCAAAAATAAGTTATTTAATCATAATTTATATCTATTTTAACGACGAAAACAAATTAAGAAAGGATGGAAATTAGTTTTATTACAGTTTTGTTGAGCACTCTTTTGTCAAGCGCACTTTGTTTAAAAGGAACTGTTTCAAATGAAGAAAGTAAGTATTTTTTTAAAAATAATCTTAATATATTTTTATCTGACATTTTGAATTTCGTACTCATATGGAATGATGCATATTTTATGAAAATAAATCTTTATGCATATTAAAAGCTTTGCCTGAATATGTAAATTCTTGATTAATTTTTTATAAATTAAGGAATTTATTAAATATACATAAAGAACATTGGTGAAATCAATAATATAACAAAATATGGAAGGGTTTTTGCTTTTATATGTTGAATGCTTAGAAAATTTTGGTTACCCGTTTATATTGTTAGTTGAGGACGTTGGACGATCCAATAAGATAAAAGTTACATAATTTGTTGAGAGATAGTAATATCAGTAGCTATTAATAGTAGTTTCAGTAATAAGAGCTAACTTATCATTCGAATAGATTAAAAAATTCTGAAGCAAATTTTATCATAATTCTGATATTCAATATTAATAATAATTTCTTTTGGCAATGTGGACCATACTAAGTACTTTGAAATAAAAATAAAATGAATTATACTGATCATTTGATATAATTCATCTGTAAAAGGGAAAATTTTATTAAATTTAGGAAAATTTTATTAAAATTTATGTACGAAAGATATAGAGTTTCGAGATATTACAGTTCCTTATTTGAGCTCTTTTTTATGATAACTCAGTAGTTCTCCAGACATAACTTTGCATTACATATAATTTTGAATAGAATATATTAGGAGGTATTCGATTTTCTATCTCCTAACAAAATATTAGATAATGATATTGTTTTTTTCTTTCGAAAAATATAAGAGTTTTTCTAAGAAACTATTTTTCAAAACAATAAAAAAAATTTTAACTAATTATTTTCAAAATTTTTTTAAAGAGAATTTAACTAAGGTGGTAAAAATTTGAATAAGAATAAAAACGGTTTGGATTTGAATACATTAATACACCAGCTGAATACGGGGTAAAAAAAAGAAACAAAAAAAAAGAGTCATTTGTATATATAAGAGATTCCTTCATTTATTCATTCCTTCACTCACTCTTCACTAAATCTCCCACTTCCAACGAAGTTTAGAAAGATAAAATTTGGAGTATGTGATATAAATAAAATGTGAGATAAATAAAATAACTATTTGATATTTTATAATTATCGAGAAATTTAAGGGGTAATTAGCCCAATTGACATATTTGCTAAATAATACGTTTTTACCAAAATAGAAGTCTCAAATGTGGACCATGTGCTCATCAATTTATTTTTTTGAAATAAATATAAAATGTTTTATTTCAATATTTATATTATCTTATTCGGGTAATTAACTGTAATGATCCCAATGATGTAAATAAAAGTTTGCCACTAAGAAGTCTCAAATATCGACCACGTGATCCTTATTAAATAAAACTAAGAACTACAATGTTTTGTTTTGATGTGTCGTAATTATTGGAGTAGTTAACCTAGTTGAGAGCAATGCTAAATAACACGTTTTTACCAAGGTAAAATCTTTAATTTTGACAGTTTTTTTGATTATGAGATGAAATAAAAATTTCTATATTTTGTTACTATTGTGGTAATTATCCCAAATGAAATTTTGCTACAAAGATAGAAACTAAAACAAATTTGTAAAGCAATTTTGGAATATCGGGGCAATTGCAGTGAGTACGGATTTTGATGCATGCATAATTAAAACGGAACATTGAAGATACCTTTTAGTAACGCAACGAATTTAATAAAACAAAAGTGAGTACGAAATTAAACGTCATGAACATTACATTTCCATGCGAGTCCCAGTTAGGCACTCCTCTACTAATTTACGAGCTCTTGTTCGTTTTTCTCTGTCGGGGGCAAAATCTTATCGTCCCCCCTGTCACAAGTTTGATTTTTTCCTTTTTATAGCTCTGAATCTTACTCATCCGTCTTTTGAATTAGACGATGTGTTTAACTAAAAATGCTACAAAGTGAGGAATATATNCTTATTATATCGAAAAATATGCTAATCTTGATAGGGCATCTGCGTTATCATTCGCAGTATCTTTTCTATACGTAATTTTAACATTATATCTTTGGAGTGCTAATGCCCACTTTATTAGCCTTTAAACCACATTTCCATGCAGAATAAAATGCTATCATGGAAAGTTGATATTAAACCCATCCCGGACAAAAGTAGGACTGACTTGAATGATCATTTGCTAAAAGACAGACTGCAACAATCCCTTTTTGTGTGTCCCGTATTGTTGCGTCGTCAATACACCGTAAAAAAATTACGAAACGTTTCTGAATATATGGAGCAGCGACGGTGCATGTAGTTTTCAAAAACGTTTCAGAATACTTTGGAAACATCTTGTGGAGCTAGGCTACCAACAATGTCAACTGTCATCTATCAGATGTTTTAAGATACATAGATGATAAAATGATACCTCGTGAGTTGACATGTTTCATCAACTAGTGAATTGTAATTTAATAGTTGAAATGGTAACTATGCTACTCTCTGAAACTGAATCGGCATCAATGCGATTTGTTTCCTTAAGTGTTTCCCAATTGATCGGAAACATGATATGAAATGAAGTTCTCTGAGATTTTCGAGCACATTTCGGAAGCATGTCGAGTCGAAATTAGTTTTTAAATTTTCTTTTTCAGTGTAGCTACTGTAAAGGTTAATAAATTTTCGGAAAATTTAAACAGCGTGTCGCTAAATTTAGAGGAAAAAATACATTTTAACACACATAGTTAATAAATATTAATATGAATAGTTAATGAATAGTTAATAAATATATTTATAACCGTTTAAAAATTCTTAAAACGTTAAAAATTATATCCATTTTTTTTACATTAAAACTTAAATAAAAAAAAATTTCCAACATTTTGCTTTGTTGAAAGACAAAAGTAACGAATAAACATTCATTTCTATTTATTTCGAGCTGCTTCTGATTGGACCATAAGTTTAAAAAATATCTCAACGGAAAATCACTGTACACCTCATTTGTACAAGATCCTTACAAGATCAAAAATGTATTAAAAAACATTTAAAATGTTTTTTAATATATTTTTGATTACTGATTTTTGAATTCAATACATCCAAAGGTTTTTAGTAGTATGGTATGTATTTACTGGTTTATGAACTTTAAATCAATTTGTATTTCATGGTGTCCTAATGTTGCAAATGGGATAATTTTCATTTAGAAATATTGAATTTATTCATCCCTAGATATTTTAGACATTTATGAAAAAAAAAAATTATAATTTGACCACTATTGCTAGTTTTGAACCTACGTGAAATTTTTTCTCTAGAAAAACCAGAATTTTGGAGAAAAAATGCTGAAAAGACTCTACTTGAAACTCTGCTATTGTACAAGAACGAAAATGTCGCCAAAAATGTGATCCTTTTTCTTGGTGATGGCATGGGTCTTACAACAGTGACATCTATGCGCATTTACAAAGGTCAGAAGAAAAATCAAAGTGGAGAAAGTGAGCTATTATCTTTCGACAGATTTCCACACGTTTCATTGTCAAAGGTGCTTACACATTTCTCATTCTTTCAAATTATAAATAAACATTATGTGAAAACTTAGGCGAGCTCCCAAACTATTTCTTCAGATAAGGTAGAAATATATAGAGATAAAAAGAGAAATATTTTCTTTAATCAGCCGAAAATATAATAAAATATTTTCTTAAAATCACCGAAAATATTATTTGCTCATGAAATATTTTCTTTAATCAGCCGAAAATATAATAAAATATTTTCTTATAATCGCCAAAAATATTATTTACTTATGAAATATTTTCTTTAATTAGCCGAAAATATAATAAAATATTTTCTTAAAATCACTGAAAATATTATTTACTCATGAAATATTTTCTTTCATCAGCCGAAAATATAATAAAATAATTTCTTACAATCACCGAAAATATTATTTACTCATGAAATATTTTCTTTAATCAGTCGAAAATATAATAAAATATTTTCTTAAAATCACCAAAAATATGTTTTCATTAAATATTTTCTTACACTAGCTTAAAATATCATTTACTCACGATTTTTTAAATTATGGAATAGAGATGTCCAAGTCAGAGACTGAACTAGATCAGTTTTCAACTATCATTCAAATTCAAACGATTTCCATTTGCACTGTTATTATTGGACAATTCGTATTCCCATATGGAAACGTATTCCTATTGGTTACATCTGTAACCAATTGATCATTGATGGATTTCATTATACAGGTAAGTGAAGTGACGTGACACTTAGTGCTCAAGCAGCTTTCTCACGGAAGGATACTCGAGCACAAAATTATATAGAAAAAGAAATTAGAATAAAAGAATTGTTACGAAATAAAACATTCAAGTAAATTCACAGTTAACAAACAAAAAAAGAATTTGCGCGAACTAGCAAACTTTCAAAATGTTTCAACAATAGTTTTGAGACTGAAAAGTAAAGAGAAAAAAAATGAAGTCTGATTTGTCAAAACTCACAATGCGTTTCTGAACTTAAAGTCTTGAATTGCTGTTGTTTTTAGTAGTGCACATGTTAAGTTAATGAATCCGGGATGTTAATTAAAAATTCTTACGCTAAGAGTTCCTATGATTAATTCAAAAACTTGATTTTTAATATCATTAAATATATTTTGAACTGGGTCAGAAGTTTGTATCTCATCATGGATAGACATTCAGTTATCTTTAAACTATTTGAGAATGTGTGCACACCCTTAAAAATTGTAGAAAAACCACTAGAAATTTTTTTCTTCTAATGAACATACCAAAAAAAAGCCGAATTTAAAAAAAATTATGTCATACCGAGAAGTTACAGGCTTTATCATAATTGGTTACATATTGACCCAATAGAATTTAAAAGCTGTTCAGAGGTTTGCCTGTAACTCCGTTCAGCATTTCTCCCTGTACATCTGGATAAAAAAATGAAGTACAAATGATAAATTTGCTCCACTGCAGGGTAAGGCTCAGAGGATAGAGCTTTCACTTTCCAATGAGGCGCACTGGGTTCGAATCCCAGTCGATACGAATTCCGCATCCGGCTTGCACCGACCACAATGCTGACGTGAAATATCCTCAGTGGTTGACGGATCATGGGTTAGAGTCCCCTTGACGTCAGGCTAACCGAGGGAAGTTCCCGTGGTCGTCCCCTCCATGTAACACAAATGCGGTTAGCTCCATCAAAAAATCCTCCACGAAGGCAAATTTCTTCCAATTCTCGATTCAGGAGTTCCCTTGTCTTCTGGATTGGGTTCAAAAATACATGGCTACGGAGTTGCACATTAGTTGTAAACCCATAAAATTGGGTCGGCTGTTCAACGACGGTTATAAAATAAAAAATAAAATAAGCAAAAAGTGAGAACAATCTTTTTTGTCTATGTTTAATTCTAAAAATTTGAATGTAAAAATTGTCCAATTTGATTTTTAACTAGTGATGATGTATCTATATTTAACATCGTTTAAAAAAATATATTGATAATTATTATTAAACTAATGTTACTCAGTATATTTAAATTACTAAATAGTAAATATTACAATTAATATGTTACCCTATATAGTTCATAATAATTGATATTAATATTAATAATTAATAATTGATGAAAGTGTAGCGTATCTATCACTACAAAATTACAACTACAATTCAGTAGTAGATAAGACATGTTAACTCGACTCTATGTCGGGGTACCTTTTCATAGATGACGGTTGACATTGTCTATAACAACTCATTCCCCACACCNGATGTATCTATATTTAACATCATTTAAAAAAATATATTGATAATTATTATTAAACTAATGTTACTCAGTATGTTTAAATTACTAAATAGTAAATATTACAATTAATATGTTACCCTATGTAGTTCATAATAATTGATATTAATATTAATAATTAATAATTGATGAAAGTAATAAGTAAGCTAAAATGAAAAAGATGAATTATCTAGTCGAAAAATATTGTTTACTAAAAATATTAATAAATTAATAATTACAATTGAATAAATCAATTATGTTATCGACTGCTTAATTATTGTATCTATGTTTCCTGAAGTAAACAAATAATGAACACTGTACAAACCCATTCAATAAATAATATATCAATTGTTTTATTTATATGTGCTGTTTCCTGAAGACCTACGGGGTGGACAGGCAACTCTCTGACTCTGCCAACACAGCGACAGCCTATCTTTGTGGAGTGAAAGGAAACTATGGAACAGCTGGAGTAGATGGAAATGTCATGTACGAAAATTGTGAATCATCTTTAAATAAAAGCAACCATGTTGATTCTATTATGAAATGGGCCCAGGAAGCAGGTAACGATATCAGTTTCTGAATATGTTTACAAAAAATAAATAAATAAATAAATCCGGAACCTTATAAATAGTCTCTTTAGAAATTATGCCAGATTTATATTGATGTCGCGTTTGCACGACACTTGCGTTTGCGTGATAGTAATTTAAAAAATACCTTTTAGAAAAAAAATGGTAAGAAAGTAGCACATAAGTTGGTACTAAATTGATAGTTTCTAATGAAACTGACGCCTTTAGTTTTGTAGATTACAAGTGAAAGTTATATGAATGAAATTTATCTTGACATATTTTGGTGAACACCAAATGTTTTTGTTTTACCAAAATAAATTGAAACAAATGAAATAATTAAGTTACACTGAGAAAAAGAGCATGGTCGAAATTATCAGATTATTGTAAACTTTATACCGTGTATCTGGCTCACCAAATGAGAACACCAAAAACCTCGGTAATTTTTAACGGAACACTTTGCTTGAAATTAACAATAAAATATGCAATAAATAATTTCATAATATGTGATAAAATTCGGTAATTTCATCATGATACCTTAGACCCTTAGAGCATGGCATAAAAGCCATTTATTTGGTTAAATTTACTTTCAGTTTTTTTTTTCTCTTTACTAACTGTGAGGTAATAAGAACAAATTCTAAAAACTAAAATTTCTGGTAAGCCGTTTCCATATGAACGGAAAAATTACCTAATGAATGGTTTAAATACCGCATATTTTGGTTTTTATTAATCAGAATTATGGTTTCTTCATCAGAAATGTCATAACCATGCACCACAATTTTTTTATTTATTATAAAAGTATTATTTTTTATCTTTTTGAAACAAAGAACGCGATTGTTTTGGTGGTTAGTGTACAAAATGCCCTTAAAATTTTAGATATTTTTTCTTATTTTATTTCTAATGGGAAGGCAAAATACAAATGAAAGCTCAAAATAGAACGCAAGAAACTAAGTAGTCGAAATGCTTTTTTCAGACTTTCTCTGTACGCCAATATGCAATAGGTCTCAAAATCATAATCAAGAAATGCAACACAGATGAGCTCTGTTCACGGTAGTTACAGAAAATAATCCCTTAAAAAAATATTTTATGTTATTTACAAAAATTGTCCTTAAAATAATGTAATAAAGAACACAAATCAATTTAAAATCAAAATTTGATTGTCTTACTTTTTTCAAAGAAACCTATGAGGAATAAAACTTTATATTTTTGTGATGCAGTATACTTAAGTAAAACATAACGTACGACATAAGCGCATATAATTTAAATAATAGAGATAGGCTATAGTTTTCATTTTATAACAAGTACCGTTAAAAGTACCAAGACACACGAGTAGCACTTGTTATAGTTCCGAAACGTATTTCTCATACTACCACTTGGCTGGGTTAAATACACTATCCATGCTTTCATGTGTAGGTTTCTGATTTATTATGCTTTGAAATTGAAAACACAAGCTTGTTTAGATTATATGAGATCTTATTTTTGAAAGTAGAATATGTCCATTTTTTTCATGTATCTTGATATTTAAGGGTGAGCGCTCAAATGAATTTAAAAATATTAGCAAAAGTTCATCATTTCATGTAAGGTTTTTAAAACAGTAAAATGATTATATGTAAATATGCTGTAATGATTATTAAAATTTCAACAAAAAAATCCACTTCTAATAACAATATATTCTAAGAAATAAGGACCAATGGATAGATAAGTCCGAATTTTTGTACACTTTATTGGATTTACTGAAATGGAATTTGTAATGGAAAAATTTATTATTTAATATAGACATGTAAATACACGAATTAATTTTATCGAAATTTATGGAAAATGAGTGATGTGTAAGGCAATAAACTCATAATCTTGTGCTTCTTGCTAAAGGTCTTGAATTTTTTACTGCGACAGCATAATAATCTTACTTAAATCTTTTAAATTTTTCTTTCTAGATTATTAACTTTGATATAACAATTATACTATAATAAATACTCTGATACAGAATAATAAATACCCTGCGATTGATTGACATAGGAAAATTAAATCAAATAGTAGGAGTTGCAAAAGAACTTTAAACACAATCAGGTAAATTATTTTGAAATATGAATTGTAGCGAAACATGGCTGATTCGCAATGCGCATACTCGCATTGGCACTTATTCGTAGACAATGCTGCCTAACGAGCGATTATTTCCAGGGCATAGACTAATTCTAGAAATTAAATAGAAACTTAATTTAACATTGACAATAAAAAATGAACTTATTCCAGTTTCTAAAGCTAAAGTTCACTTTAACGGAAAACCATGCTGGATTAAATGTATGATTATAAACATAAAAAGAGAGTATTCATATCTCTCTTTTAAAAATAACAGTTCATACATATTATTCTATTCGAAACAGGTAAATGGACCGGCTTTGTAACTTCTACTAGAGTAACCCACGCAACACCTTCAGGATTGTATGCTCATACAGCTTCGCGAGAATGGGAGTCTTCTGCTCCAGATTCAAGATGCATGGACATTGCCCAACAGCTGGTTCACCATGAACCTGGCAAAAATACCCGGGTAAAAACTATATCCTCTACAATGATATTCGTAAATATATGACTTGTTATGATTTCATTAAAACCACGCACGTCACAGACTTGCAATTAAGTTCCATTAAAGATTTTGATGAGCATATGATGATCGTCACATGAAATACATATATACGTCACATGAGTTCATGTTCGTTCCATGAAATACACATACGTTAATAAACCACTGGTAAAACTTATGTTAAAAATTCTACCCTAAGTTTCATTCGATCGGAAAAATAATGCCTGTAATATCTTAATATCAGTTGTCAACAGAAAAATAGTTTATTCATATTTATAACAAAATTAATAAAAAATTATGATTTTTAACTATCCCTCAACCGTGGAACTAACCAGTTATATATTTACTTTCATCGCTGCAGTAAGAGACAACCGGCCTTGCCTTCTAATTGTCACGTACCTTTACTTTATGAGTACTCTAAGAAGTTTAAGCATGTATTTTGTTTCAGGAAAAAATGCTTTAATGCTTTTTTTTTAAAGGAAAAAATGACAATACAAACGTTATATCGGTTTATCAAAACATTGAGAGTAAAAGAGAGAGCTAGAGAGGTGTAGACAGAAATAGAGAGAGAATATTAGTAAACAAAATTGAAACAAAAAATAAGAAATATGGTTTAAAGCAATCTATGTTCCCATTATACTATCTCCTTAAACAGCAAGTCTAATTAAATGTGTTTCAAAATTTCATCAAAGCGTAAAAAGAAATCTTTTAAAAAATATTTTATGCTTATAATATTTTACTCTGATAATATAATGTTAATATGACATTGATAATTCCGTTAATCTTGTATTTTAATTATAACATCATTAAGTGATGCTTTACACAGCAGAAAATAATGCTTACGTAAACATAGAATTGTTTACAAGCTGAAAGGTTAAGTTGATTGAAGAAGAAAAAACTATTTCTGATTTAAGAGGGAATATCACGAGAACGATAGAATTGCATATAACGGGCCATTATTAATATTTATTTACAAAATTTATCTTAAAGTGAATCACAACCAATTGCATTTAATCAGATAAGAATTTCCAACTTTCCATTTCAACAATGTTTGCACAGACTATTGTGCGAATCAGTACAGATGTCGTACTTGCATATAATGCTAAGACAGCTGTCAGCCTTTTCAATATTTTTATTTTGCTTTATACATTGCTGCCAACATAATGATAGTTTTTTTCTACTCCATAATGATAATACTGTTAACTTTGAAAATCTTAATGTAATTTCTGCTCTGTAATGATGTCTTTCTAGAAAACCTATTATTTTTGTTGGGTTGGAGTATCATGTTACAGGCAGCTTTTATTAGGATTTTCTACTTAGATGCAAATTTTTTGTAATAGATGTCAAAAAAATTTTTTTTTGAAAAAAGAAAAAAAAACTATAAATCTACTTCATACAGTTATATAATTTAATTTTACCGATTTTTAACGTTTATCAAAAGGCATCAAAATTCGTCATCTTTTCAACGCAATAAATGTTTTTTTCAGGCGTTCTTACATTTTAAACGTCGCATAGTACTTTCCCAATTTACCGGAAGTAATTAAATTCAACTATTTTATTTATTTTATTTTATTTTATTACCGACGTTGAACAGCAGACCCAAATTTTGGGCTTACGACTACTGATGTTCAACTCCGTAGCCTTGTAATTTTGAACCCAATCCAGAAGACAAGGGAACTCCTGGATCAAGTATTAGGAGAGATTTGCCTTCGTGGAGGACTTTTCGATGGAACTACCCGCATTTGCGATACATGGAGAGGAAACCCACCCATGGTTAGCCTGACGGCAAGGGGATTCCAAACCATGATCCATCTACCACCGAGGAACTTTATTAAAGAAGAATAGCCATCACGTAAGAAATAAAAAAAAAATATACAGTTGAATTTATTTTCGCCAGGTGATTTTGTACTGATGATTTTATAGCATATGCCGGTAAAATGGAAAAGCTCCCGTCGTGCTGTAAATATAAGTTTTTGTTGTAACTCAATATGGTAGATATGTATGACTTTTTCTGTTGGAAATTATATCATTACAAAAACCATTGTTTAAAAATTAACCTACCAGGTCATTTAGAGTTAAAAATAAATAAATATGCATATTTCGCTGATTAAATTTTTTTAGTAACAAACAATCCTAAAAAAGGTAATTATTTAGTTAGAACTTTCATTTTAAACAATTTACCTAAATCCAAATACCCTGAAAACAATAAAGGGAGTTTAAAAATATAAAAGTGATGCTTAATTAATAAATAACAAAATCAAACAGCGTCGCCTCAATGTTAGTACACTTTGTGAAGAAAATATAATTTAACAAAGTACAAGCAAAATATGTACTGCAGGAAAACAGTACACAATTGGAAAAAAAATAAACTTATCTATTTATGTTATTTATAGGTCATATTAGGTGGCGGGAGGAAGCATTTTATACCCACCGGCCAATTCGATATTGATGGGGAACAAGGCTCACGAATGGACTCACGAGATCTCATGAAAGAATGGGAAGAAGATAAAAGATCTAAAAACGTAGCCTATAAGATCATCTATGATGCCCAGGAACTAAGAGAAACTCAGCCTGAGAAAGTTGACTATTTAATGGGTGAGAATTTAAAATTTGGGTAACTAAACATTCTAAACAATCATCCACCTGATTTTTGACATTTTTTCGAATTCAGAATGATGCCGTAACACTTTTAACATCCTTAAGAATTTATACTGTTGAATTCAACAGGCTTCAATACTTTAATAAAGATTTGGAAATTCCTTTCATAAACTTCGGTATGTTTACCATAAATTGAGGAAATATAAAAAAACTAGTGGGCTGCGTCCCCTGCTCGCTAACGCTCGCCAACCCCCCAAAATTGATACGCAATCTTATATGGTCTGCTTCGCAAACCAAGCTCGCTTCGCTCGCTACTAACTTTGGCAGGTACAACTTAGTAACAAATTCACAAACTTCTAAGAATTCAAAACAATCATTCAAATTCATATAACAACTTTTTTCAAAAAAGAAAATTACATCTTTTTATGTAAATACTAAGTCATTAAAATAAATTTGAATTCAAATAAATGACAAGTAATTCGTTAAACCTATTAGAAATGTGCTATAGTATAAAATCTTAAAGCGTAACAGCACAACTGAGACTCATTTTTCAATGAATAACTACTATTAACAATAATAAAACAAATAAATTCGTGATATAAATCGAAAATCGTCAAATAAATTCGTAATATATAAATTCGTGAAAAAAAGCGCTTTCGACAAAATACTAAAATAGAGATCTATCGACAAAGACTACTCACTTCTGCCTAGCTTAATAGTATGAGATTGCCGCAGCTGAT